GTCTAGTGATGTCACTTGATGGTTTCCTCAGCGTATGGCCAATCCATCTCCATTTCTTTCTGCCTATTTGTTTCACAATCGGTTCCTGATTGGTTCGCTCCCAGAGATCCCTGTTGCTGATCTTTTCTGGCCATCTGATCTTGAGTATTGAGCGGAGACAGTTGTTAATGAAGGTTTGAAGTTTGTTTGAGATGCTCTTTATGACTCGCCAAGTCTCTGATCCGTATAGTAGCACTGACTTCACATTGGAGTTGAAAATCCGGATCTTATTTTTGATGCTGAGTGCTGTTGACCTCCACACAGATTTGAGAGTAATGAAAGCTTGTCTTGCTTTTCCGATTCTGGCTTTGATGTCCTCGTCAGTTCCGCCTGTAGTTGAGACGATGCTTCCCAGGTAGGTGAAGGAGGTTGTTTCTTTCAGGTTCTTCCCATTTATGCTTATTGTTGTCTGTTGTTGCTGTTGGCTAGGAATCTTCATCATCTCTGTTTTATCTATGTTCACGTGAAGTCCTATCTTTGATGCTTCTTCTGCCAACTTGTTACTTTTCACTTGCATATCTTCCAGTTTATGGGAAATCAGACATATATCATCGGCGAAATCCAGATCCTCCAAGTCTTTTGTGTCAGTCCATTTTATGCCTGTTCCCTCGTTGGTTGCCGTTGTCTGTCGCATTATCCAATCAATTGCAATCAGGAAGATCATTGGTGATAGTAGACAGCCTTGCCTCACTCCCGTCCTCACTTCGAAGGCTTCCGTAAGTTTCCCGTTGTGGATTACTTGGCATGCAGCATTGTCGTATAACTGTTGGATGAGGTGTATAATTGTCGATGGGACCCCGTAGTAGCGAAGTAGTTTCCAAATGACCTCTCGATCGACGCTGTCGAAGGCCTTTTCAAAGTCGATGAAGTTGAGATAGAGAGGTGACTGCCATTCCAAGCTTTGTTCAATGATGATCCGTAGAGTGGCGATTTGATCAATACATGATTTGTTTCTCCTGAATCCAGCCTGTTCCGGACGAAGTTTTTCATCTAGGGCTTGTTTGATTCTCTCCAGGATGATGCGACTTAGTATCTTGCTTGGAATGGACAGAAGCATAATTCCACGCCAGTTTTTACATTGACTTAAGTCTCCTTTCTTTGGAAGTTTGAATAAGTATCCGTTCTTCCAATCCTCGGGTACTTTGCCCTCTTTCCACACCTTCTCCAGCAGTGGTGTCATCAAGTCCGCTGTTGTCTCTGGGTCTATTTTCAAAGCCTCTGCTGGGATTCCATCTGGTCCCGGTGTTTTCCCAGCTTTAAGCATCTTGATTGCATTCAGGACTTCTGATTTCGTCGGGGGGTCAGTGTTCACTGGTAGTTCTGCTTCCGTTGTTGGTATTGCTGGACGTGTTGTAGGTGGCGGACGATTTAGAAGTCTTTTGAAGTGTTCAACCCAGTGCTTTCTCTGTTCCACCTCTTTGGTGATTGACTTTCCATTGTCGTCCTTTATTGGCTTAATCTGTGTCGAACGTTTGCCCGAAAGGTTCCTAGTTGTTTGGTAGAGTGTGGCGAGGTCTCCTTTGCCTGCAGCTTGTTCTGCTTCGTTTGCCATGGTTTCATAATATTTTCTTTTGTCTTCCCTGGCACTTTTCTTCACTCTTTTGTTCAGTGTATTGTAGCTTGCATTCAGCTCCTGTTTTTGTTGCTCGTCAGTGCACTGGATAATCTTTTGCTTCACTGTCCTTCTATTAGTTTCCAAGTGTCCGTAGTGAGCCACTGTTTGTCCTGTCTCTTTTTTCTGCCTAGAACTTCTATGACTATTGATCAGCCATTTCATAACTCGTAGTTTATTCAGTGACCTAATCAAACATTTATCTAATATAGTAATATTCACTTTAATATTTCGGTCATTCAGACCATTAGCAAGCAGTTTAGTCCCTTCTAATTTTAGAGGAAGATTCGACGGTATATTACTAATTAGCAATAATTGACAACGTACGTGTGTTATCGCCTGTACAAATTACTCGTTTATGTAGGGATTTCGATTGGTTTCAGTGTAGATTTTGTCAAGAACTAAAATCAATTAGGTATCATTGAACAGTTTGATACTCTTTAGTGAGATGCGCACACACGACCTCCGCCAAGAGTTGAACGTGAAACTCTCAGACTACAAGCCCAAGCTCGTCCACCACTCAACAGCTACTTGGGCTGAGATTCAATGACCCGTGACTTCTGCCAATTCGTAATATGCTTTTACAGCCAATGCCATTCTTTGATGTGCAGTCATTTCACCTTGAGATGGTGGATTCCACCGGTCGATATTTGCATTACGACTTCATGACATCCATCCGATAACTACCAACGGGTTGTGGAGATTGAGATTATGGATTTTTCTAGCCATTCGGAATAATTTACACAAATTTTCGACTTAAAACGCGCCACAACTTATTCACTTGAATTCGTTATGAAAAGGTGCATTGATTAATTTGCGATCTTATTGGCCTTAATTCGGTGTAAATTGATTTTGAACATGTGAAAATGAACGCACAGAAAGAAAAACGCGTCTACGCTATTATCTCTATTTCGAGGTGAATTAAATTGCGATTATGACAAAATCGAATTATGTGAAAAAATGAACACAAATGATTTTAAATCCAGATTATACGTTATAACTTGCAATTAGCTTATCTAATTCATATTTTCGAAATAAGCGCGTTATAGTTTTTCATCAAAATACACCACTTTATGAATATTTTAGTTTATAACCATTTAACATTTGTTATTTTTTTCTCTAGTCCATAATTTCACATACTTTTCGTCTCAATGGAGGGAGAGTTTGTTATACTTCTATTAATTTATTATACAGTATAGATTAAGTAATATAAACGCTAGGTATTTAGAAAAGCACTTTCTTATGTCACAGAAGCGGTGTGAAAACATTGTAAAGGTGGTAAGGACCAGTCGTAAATATATGCCTAAAATATCACAATAGCATTTTTTGAGTATCTATTACCTTTCCTTGGTACAATGAATATCACCTTTCGTTAACTCTTAGTTTAAGGATATCGAGTTAAGTGGTTGGTAGTGATAACCATTTCACCTAGTAGAGTAATTACGCCAGATTACTAACGAATTCTCAGCAAGGACACAAAAGATTCCTGCGGTATTTGGCCACTAATATCATCTCTGGAATAGACATTATATCCGAAGCAGTAGGTCGCTTTGCCCTTGTTTACGGCAATAAAGTACGGCCGTTGAAAGAAGATTTTAATAGGCTAGCTATCATTAACCATAGGTGTGTTTGCTCTGCTCTATGTGTTAAGTGGTATATTATGGTCAGTGATATAGTGGTTAGGTGAATGTGGTACGAAAGAAGGCAAAGTTAGTCGATGAGGCCGTGAGACTGTACTGACTGAAATGCCTGCAACACAACGTGTCGCCTATACAAAGTCACTGCCTTTCTCGACGAGCAATATCAGCAATAACATATAAGATTAAGTAGGAAAAGAGTTAGGAGTGGTCAAACCATCATCTAAAGAGGTGAGCAACTACTTGTTTTCGATCCTCAGAATTGTGTAAAAACCAACGGCCAGAAAAACTATTGGTGATAAGACTTGAAAAATCTCCTTCACTCTTTATGAATGAACTCTGAGATCCATCATTATTCTCTACAAAACGTATTCTTTATTCGATACTTCACTGTAATATTTATACTTATTTCATTTGTATTTGTATGTTTTGCTAACCTTATCATAAGTGTTTTATAATATATAGAAAAGTGAACTGATTTACCTATGCACAAAGTTCTAAGGTAACTAAAAGTTCGGTGTCAATTTATTAATGACTAGATAGATCACTGTGCTAACAAGCTACACTGAACAATACACTGTGTCACCACCCCGCTACTACTAGACGCACAGAGTTGTGCTGTTGTAAATTTCAAGATTTCTTCATTACAATAAAACTTACAAACTTACAGTTTGATGGAGTAATTTGGAGAGAGAGAGAGAAAGAAATACAAAAACAAAACAAAAAACACACAACAATCAACCAAAAAAGTCATCCATTTCTAATTTACGTGCAGCAACTAACTCATGATCAATTAGCGAAAGATTTTTTACTTAACGCGCATATTACATTTGTACGCTTCGCGCATGCATATCTCATGCAAAAACGAATACAAAATCCCAACAGAAGAAATATAATAAATTAAAACGGACAAACCTCAACACGTATGGGTGTTGTTGGAAAAGTAGAGTTATAAAAAAAACAGTGTTTACAACTATGCTGGAGCTGGTGATCATGATGATGATGATGATAAAGGATACAGCAAGAAGCATTGAAGAGTTGAGAAAGAGAATATATACTAAAAACTGAAAAAGTGTCCGCAGGTAGAAGAAAAAATAAGAGAAGAAGAATGAATGAAGTGAACCACTCTAGAAGGTGTAAGAATATAATAGCCTGTATTCTCTAGAGAGAGAGACAAACAGACAGACAGACAGATAGAAAGTGAATGTGATTAGCGGTGGGGACTTTGAAATGGTGCAGGCAGGTCAGTTAAAAATGAAGCAGGAAGAGGAGAGTAGGAGGAGTAGATTAAAAGTTGATGACAGTATTTGTTAATAATACATGGAGTAATAAGTAGGCGAAAAAAAAGAAACGAACATAACATAGGTGAATATCCTTTCTTATAAAAAAACCATTCTTTTTGGAATAGTCGTAGACATTAAAAATCAAATAAGCGTCCCATTATAATGATTGACATTATATATGATTTAATTAATGAATAAAGATGACAGTAGTGAATTCACCGACCTCAGGTTTCACATGATATACACACTGTATAATTGAACAAAACAATGTGTGAGTAGTATACTGATACATCATTTTTGAAGATTTTGTTTCTTCAAGAGGGAGGGAAGCAGACAGGGATTGAGAGAGGAATAGAACATGGAGAAGAAGGCTAATTTTTAAAAAAAATTGATACAGACGAATCTTACAAATTATGAGTAATTCAGAATTCATGTAGATGGAGCGCGTACGTGACGTGTTCCCCCCTCCACCAACGCTTTGATAACATTAAATAGCTAAAAAATATATTTAAGAGAAGGATGACAATAGATAATTAAACATCTAAAACAACAATAAATTCTATATAGGGGACGAACAATTGTACAAAAAGAAGAGACTGCAACTAGCAGTGGAAACTCAACTCTTGACAACTCGGCTTATCCGTTAATTGTCAGTGTGTGTGTGTGTGTGTCAGAATGGCACAGCCAACAAATACTACCTACACTCCCGCCTACACACATACAAACTCATGCTGTTTAACTTAACTAACGGTTAGGAAAATAATGAGCATTAATAAAGTGAATCAGACATTTAGTTTCACAGTAAACTACCAACTGTGAATGCATTTACCCGAATAATAACATAAGCATTATTATATATTATTATTAGTAGTAGTAGTAGTATTTCCTCTGGATTGTTAATGGAACAGAGGGGCACAGCATCAAATCGCCATTTAATTCAGTTCTTCGCAATCATTTTTAGTTGACACTGTGATTACCCATAAGCTTACACTGCTCGCCTACACAATCCCATCCCCAAAGTCACCTTCGAATCCATGCCAAACTCGTCGGTTTCCGCTAGAAGGCTTGGCACGTGGTGGTGTCACACATCGGTCTCTTCAATATGCATCCAATCTACCTCCACTTCCCTCTGAATCGTTTCCGGGAACTAGGTTGTCTGCTGTTTGGGCTTTCCGACAGGTTATTGGATTTGCAGTATCCACAGGAGACAGCTGGTGATGATGCACCAGCCAATTATCTGAGATATACAACACTGCCTTGATATTAGTGTTTTGCTGTGATGCAGATCTCCACACCAATCATCTTACTTTCCAATTCGACCATGCCTGGCTTTGTTTTAGTCATCAATAGCCCCGTAGTTAAAGTGATGCTGCACACTAAGAGGTTTTTCCCATTGGTGTCGACTGATGCTGTGTGGTATCTTCAAAACCTCTATTTTCTCTGTATTCATCTGAAGTCATGACTTCGCCGACTCTCCTCACAACTTGTTGGTTTTCACCTATAGATCCTAGACTTTGTGCGGTATTACACATAAATCGTCCACTAACCCTAGATATTCTTGAATCTTTTCATCAGTCCAGCGTATGTCTGTCTCCTGGCTTCCTACAGTCTACTGCATGATCAAGTCCACCACAATCAAGCATATCATCGGCGACAGTTCCACCCTATCTTCATTTCAATGGCTTTCGTCCTTCTCTGCAACGATTCATCTTCTCTTTCAATATATATCTCTCTCTCCTCTATCCTCCTCCACGTGTCGATAAACAGAGATTCTTTGTCTTACTTTCTTTTCCTCCTAAAAGGACTATATTGCTTTTCCTCGGTATCACTCTCAAAGAATCCCAGTTTTCTTCAACACAGGTTTCCTCATCGATGCCACATAATGTCCCCTACTTTGCTCTGATGGCTCCAGTGAATGTGTCCTTCTTAGATTCGTCGTTCAGTCTCTGGGTGTTGAACCTGGATTGTGGCTATCTCCAGCTTCCGTGAAATCTTTCAAGTTAATTCCTGAGATTACTTGAATCACATAATTAGTAGTCTGCTCCTCTTGTCAACCTTGTTACCAACAGGTTGTGTCTCAACTCTCATAAGACTGAGATGAAGTCCATCTGGGTTTCGGTGTGTCCCTCTGGTGAAACGCACGTTGCTTTTCGATCATCCTTGCACTAGTACACATTGCCTCGCAGTAGTCAGCGAACGTCTCCTCATCCTCATTCGTTTTACCTAGCACCTCCATCCAGATACACGATGAGTTCTCTTCTTGTGTTATCTACTCCTGGTCGGGTATCCGTATCCTGCATCAGGATTTTGGTGTTGTCATCTAACTGAGTCTTTGTGTACTACTGTTTTCAGTTGTCTGTAAAAAATAATCCATTTTCTCTTGGTCTGCATTGTTTGTAGGTGTGTAGCATTGTTCAATCGTAACTTCCCTTCCTTTTGAGTTGAATGCTGCAGTTATGAATCTGGATGGGATTGGTCCCCACCCCACTGAGAAAGCTTTAGATGCTGTTGGTGACATCACGATAGCCACATGGTTATTTTTTTTTTTTTGATTACAGCTTGATTCCACACTGTATTTTTAGTACAAGTATGGAATTCTCAGCATGGATATCGGTAGCCCAAATTTTGCAGGTCGACCATTGATATCAGGTGTGCGTCGGGAGAGGATCGAACCTCGGACCATGTGCATGGTAGGCGAGAGTCCTAACCACTGTGCCACCGACGCACAGTTCATTGGCATTTCACTTAACAATTTCATAGTCCAACTCCATTTCATCTGCTCTCCTAAATACTGAAGACTTCTACACAGCATTCAGTCATTTGTTTGGCAGTCTGAACAGTCTTTCCAGTCACTGTGAGAACATTGTATGTATGTCCACATGCTTTTTCTCACTCAGTGAGTCGAAACAAGATATCGGCTGACTAGCTTCCCGAAGGCATTCATTATTCATCAGCCCCTGTCACTTCCTCTTTCTGATTCTAAAGCAGGATGAGATTATTTATTCCTTTATATTTTGTATGTCTGTGTGTGTGTCAAAGTTTCTCTAGAGATTGGGTAGATTTTTCAACCTTACAGCTGCTGCTAGCCTACATCATCAACACATGTGTAGTTTTGTTGGTGGGAACAAACAAAAATATACAAAATTGTATATATACAAACAAACTAAGGAAAGTAAACAAAACAACAGAAGAAGAACAACAACAACAACAACTTACGTATTTTATTGGAATAGGTGAGTAATTAGCCCCCACAGCTATCAAATCAATACACAGAAATTCTCTTCAGAGGTATATTTACAATAAAATCTTTCAAGAATTTTGAGGATCACCTGTTTTTGGCGGATCATTTTCAATAATTTTATGTTGTTGATTATAGCTATTTAAATTGGCACTATTATTATTATTGTTCATTGTATAAGGATGGAAATCACTTGTTCGACTAGACATAATACTGTTAGTTGACAATAAGTTATTTCTTTCAATATTATTATTATTATTATCATTAGGGAGTAATTTAGTAGTCCCTTTTGCTAGTTCACAAAATACATTCAAATGCTCATCAGTGACCACATAATGATATCTTGATGGCTTAATGTACAACATGAGAATTGATGCCAAGTGTGGGAAAGATTCCATTACACGTGGGCGATCATCATCGGTTTGGTTGCTAAGATCAACAAATGAATTCATATAGCTGAAGTATGCTCCAAACTGAATACTATAGAGTTGTTGTTTGTATTGTATTTATATTTCAAGAAAATAGAAAAGGAAAGTAAATTATATATTTAAATATGTATAATCAGGGATGTGATTTTGAATGAAATATATTTTGAAATGTGAAATGTACAAGAAGGCTGAATTGATCAGAGAGTGGATTACGCCACGAACTGACACACCCGAGTTAAATTGAAATCATTGAAAAATCAAACAGCACTTAAACAGTTGTTCCTTCCTTCCTAGTTTAGTACTCCACACAGCAATGAGAACCTACGACAACGTCAAGGACCTTCAGTTCACGAGGCCACTGGGGGTCGGCGGAGTTCAATGACCCACTCGTCAGCGGTATCTACTATCCCAGAGTGACGTGGTCACACTCATCGATGGCATCAACTGGTGGTGGGCCTATGTATATATATTTCGAAATAACGCCAGTTGGCATTCATAAATAATCAAATTTACACCAAGTTAACAATCTGACCTCGTGACTTAAAAGTCGCCTCCCTGTGGGGTGGTCACAGATTCGTACTACTAAAGAGTATCAAATTATGAAGAATCAGCTATCCAATACTCTCTGATTTGCAGTGATTCTTTAATTGTGGTGTTGGTTCTTGACGTAATCTACAGAGACAATTTATTATTAGTTAGGCTAAAAGAGTTAATTGCGAATTACTCTCAATGATTGCTTTGTTTATAAGAAATTCATTTTAGCATTATTCTGAGACAAGTTAAACGTGAAAACAATTGGGACAGACTATTTTAAATGTCATTCAAATTTGTGACAGTTAATAAGTTGGTAAGAAATCACCACCTATTGATTTATCATTTCTGGATACCATCATTATAATATTCTTCTGTACTTTTACATATTAGTTATTGCACTAAATAAGTATTGCTTATTCCTTGCGGTCCGACTGGAACATAAGAGATTTCAACAGCCAATGTTCAGACCTTACGGTTTTCTGTCTACCTACCTACCTACAAGCTTTCATTTCATCTTCATATCATCCGCTTTGCAAGCCCAACTCGTCGCTTCTCATTCAGATTCCACTCAAGGGTTTAGCATTAAACAGGCATTCAATGAAGAAGTCGAACAGCATATATAATCTTCAACGAACTCAGACGGTAACTGATCACTTTCACAATTAACATAATCTACACATTTCAGTGAGCCATAAAACTGGTCAAAAAATCGATAGAAAGAAGATGTATACAGGGGACTATAATCTGAGTTTCAATCAATCGGATTTTGTGAAGCTATACAACAAAGTGTTTAAAAAACACTGACCACCTTTAATGCCATTTCAATTTTCCCGTCAATTACACAGTACACACACACAAAAAAAAATATATATACACTTATTTGTTGAAAAGACGGAAACTTACAAATGAGATGGGTCAGTTGGATTGGAGGCACGAGCACATGCATCGAGTAAACAGAAAATCAAAGATAGGCCAAGCTGAAATTAAATTTTTGAAAAGACTAAAATTAGATTTTTACAGTTAACCGAACTTCTTATCTGAAGATTGGATTAACAAGAGTACGATTCCTTCTTGTAACCTCAGTTTATGACAGCAACTACGTTATTGTCTATAAGTTACTTTATTGATTTACTGATTGGAATTTTCAGTGATTATACTACAGTGGCACTTTCACAATGTATTCTAGAGACTAAACAAAGGTACAAAAGAGTCTTAGTAAAGTGCCTCTTCAGTAGAATCCAACGAATATGCACTGAAGATACACTTGATGATGTCGTCCCGGCCGATAACTGCTACCTTGCCGTGGTGGTCGGGCTTGAATACCGTAATGACCCAACAAGCTAAACTGACTGGGACTCATGTCCCTGCAGGTCCTACCATGTCAGGAAGGTTGTTTGGATAGTGGTTAAACTAAAAACAGTTACCATGGGGTACATGGGCTCTGGTATCCAATCGGATCAAATGGCGTATGAACCCATTTGGGTCACCGGGAACCATGGGAGTGCAGCTCCTGACGCTGCTCCGCTGCCTTGCGGATTAGACTGCAAGTCAAAGGCTCGGGGGGCAGTCCCTTAATAAAACCACCTGCTTCGGTCTGGGCGCCCAGGTAGTATCTCAGCCCTCAAACAATAAATCAAATGAAGCAACAAACTATCAATGAAACTTATCGCGCTCTATTACACAATGATTTCAAGTAATATTGATGCCTCAAGTAACTTGTGTCCCTTCTAACTTATTTTTATTCATAGTTTCCTGTATTTTACCTTTGCTAAACTTGACTTGTTAACCTTCAACAGCCTTTCGCCTTTGTCTAGATTCCCAATCTATCTGTGTTGTTTCGAGATGTTAGTGCGTCGGTGACACAGTGATTAGGACTCTCGCCGACCATGCACATGGTCCGAGGTTCGATCCCCAGCCAACGCACACCTGATATCTATGGTCGGCCTGCAAAATTTGGGCTACCGATATCCATGCTGAGAATTCCATACTTGTACTAAAAATACAGTGTGGAATGAAGCTGTAATCAGAAATAAATAAATAAAGTGGTTCTCTTCGATGTGACATCTAACACAGATATCCTGAAACCGCGTGCCGTGTTCAAGCTGGCCACCTACAATGTTCGGACGCTGATGCAAATCCGACAACAGGCAGGGTTGACAAGAACTTTGGAAAGCCTCGCTATCGATGTCTGCTGCATTTCGGAGACCCGCATTCAAGATCCCAGTGAAGTGCTTCGACTATCCTCTCCATCTGGAAGTTCTAGTAGTATGTACCACCTGCGCTTATCCGGGGACCCTGTGGCGTCGGCATCCGGCGTAGCTGGTGTCGGTGTCGCACTGAGCGCTAGAGCCGAAGCTGCACTGCTCGACTGGATTCCCATTAACAGTCGTTTATGTGCTGTGAGGCTGGAAGGTTATACGAAAGTAAGGAGTAGTAGGCCAGATAGGCGGTGTCTATTTGTTGTCTCTGCCTATGCACCGACGGATTGCAGCCCGGATGCAATGAAGGATGAGTTTTACTACCAACTGAGCGATCTCTTGAAACAGGCGGGTCGGAGGGATATCGTAGTGCTGGCTGGGGACTTGAATGCACAGGTCGGGCGTCTAAGCTCAGAGGAGAATCGTCTAGGTGGTCAGTGGGGACTACATGGTCGCAGGTCAGATAATGGGGACCGTCTTCTGCAGCTTTGCGCGGATCACAACCTATTTCTAGCTAGCACCAACTTCCGGCACAGCCATCGCCGTAGCGCTACCTGGCGTCCTCCCTCTGCGAAGCAAGCTTGGACTCAGATTGATCATATCGCGGTCAGTTTCCGGTGGCGAGGATGCATACAAGACTGTCGCTCCTTCTGGAGCACATGCCTGGACTCCGATCATGCGTTAGTGTGTGCCAAGTTCGTCTTGCGATTTGGTGGGGTTCGTAAAAGCCGTCGTATAAACGTTGATGTGAGCAAACTAGTAGCACCTGCTACTTCTTTGAAATATCAGAATGAGTTAAAAACAATGCTTGCCAGCAACCCCCCAAGTAGTATAGATGAACATTGGCTTCATGTGCAAGGTGCCATGCAAAAGGCGAGTGTAGCCGCTTGCGGCTTGAAAGAATGCTCCGCTAACAACCACTGGGTTTCTGCGAGTTCCTTGCAACTCCTGGATGAACGCCGGTCCATTCCGGCTGGCAGCGAATACAACAATCAGCGAAAGGCGCTCACGCGCAAGATTAGACAGTGTTTACGTAAGGACCGCGAAGCCTGGTGGTCAGAACGTGCGTGTGAGATGGAGTCAGCTGCTGCATCTGGCAACAGTCGGAAGCTGTTCCAACTCATACGAGCCACCGGCAGCAAGAAACAAGGTGTCAGCGAGACGGTCTGTGAGGCAGATGGCACTCCAATTACCAGCCTGAAAAGACGCCTGGAACGCTGGGCAGAGCACTTCGGGAAGCAGTTCAGCTGGCCACCAGCTTCAGTGTCATTTGCTGCTTGGTCGGTTAGTACCGACCCACCCACCGAAGCGGAGGTCCGTAAGGAACTCCAAGTTCTGAAACGCCATAAGGCGCCCGGCCCAGACAAATTACCCCCGGCTCTTTTTAAAGATGGTGGCGAGACTCTCACAATGGCTCTAACTGGGTTGTTCAGGAAGGTGTGGGAGACAGAGAGTGTACCATCAATGTGGAACGAAGCCATTATCGTCCCCATCTTTAAAAAGGGTCGACGTAATTCGTGTGACAATCATAGGGGTATCAGTCTGTTACCAGTCGCGTCTAAAATATTGGCTGCTGTCTTGCTTCGCAGACTGTGCAAAATACGTGAAGGATTGATTCGCGAAGAGCAGGCTGGGTTTCGTTCAGGTCGTGGATGCATTGATCATGTGTTCACCCTTCGTCAGTTGTTGGAACACCGCCACACGTATTGCAGGCCAACGATCGTTGTGTTTCTTGATATTAGGGCTGCCTTCGATTCGTTGGACAGAACTGTGCTCTGGAACTGTCTGTTAGAGAGAGGTGTACCTGAGAAATTTGTTAACATCTTGAAAGCCCTATACAGAAACACCTCAGGTAGAGTGAGGGCATACAACCAACTATCATCCACTGTTCCCAACCAACAGTGGGGTTAGACAGGGTTGCCCAATCTCTCCATTTCTCTTTAACTTTGCCATCGATGACATTCTGGAGTCAGCTCTGAAGGATGTGCGTGAAGGTGGTGTAGATCTGCTACCTGGAGATAGACTTTTCGACCTCGAGTATGCAGACGATATCGTCTTACTGTGCGCGATAGCATGCAGGCTGCCCAAATCGCACTTAATCAGTTGGCGATCAGTGTCTGTAAGTATGGTATGTGCTTTGCGCCGTCTAAGTGCAAAGTACTGTTACAAGATTGGCAGGAGCCTGTACCTGCACTCACTCTTGCGGGTGAACCGCTTGAAGTTGTTGATAAGTTTGTGTACCTGGGTAGTTGTGTGAGTGCTGGCGGAGGGGTGACGGATGAGATTTCCAACCGTATAATGAAGGCTAGGGTGGCATACATCAACTTGAGCCACCTATGGCGCCGTCGCGACGTTAGCCTGGCTGTCAAAGGTCGGGTATACAATGCTTCGGTGCGGGCTGCCTGCTCTACGCCTGTGAAACCTGGCCTCTCCGAGCTGAGGATGTGCGGCGACTCTGCGTGTTCGATCACCGCTGTCTCCGCAGGATTGCTTGCGTTCGATGGCATCATCGCGTGAGTAATTCTGAGGTTCGGCGGCGTGTGTTTGAACACAGTGGAGATCACCATTCATTGAATGTCGTCATCTGGAAACACCGGCTCCGGTGGCTTGGACATGTGCTGCGAATGTCATCCCAGAGGCTTCCGTACAGGTCTCTGTTCGCTAGCCCTGGGACAGGACGGAAAAGGCGGAGAGGTGGTCAGTCCATGACGTGGCGTCGTGGGATGAAGGATTTTTGTGCTAGACTAGGATCGGTTGGTGTGTCACGAGATAACTCAAATAGATGGCTCAAAACGTTATCGGATATGGCCAAGAATCGTAATCAATGGCGAACGTGTTGCAATTTCCTTCTTTCTTCCCTTCCTGATGATAGTTAACGAATACTGTTTGAAATTGTTCAGCATGACTGTTTTCCTTCCAGATGAAGTTCTTTATCCGTTCTCTACTTCTTTTTTTATTACAGCTTGATTCCACACTGTATTTTTGGTACAAGTATGGAATTTTCAGCATGTGGTGTCGGCAGCCCAAATTTTGCAGTCCGACCATAGATATCAGGTGTGCGCCGGCAGGGGATCGAACCCCTCTTCTTTTTTTTTTCTTTTGATCTATGGTGTTTTTTATTATTATTGTGTGGCGCATCCTTCTTGGTGCCATATTGTACCAAGTTTTTATGCATTTAAATAAATAAATAAATGATGATGTCGTTCCTATGACAAGTCCTTGTGTGATCAGATTGTTCGAAATGTGGCGCAAATACATTACACGATTCAGACAAATTACGTCTTATTGCTTTGTCTGAATTCATAAGGGGAACTAATTGTTTTAAAGGTATAAACGCGAAATTTTAAAACTTCCAGATTTAGTAGCTAAGTTTTCTCACTCGATGAAGAAATGACTGCATTCGATATCCTGATAGATAGCTGCTACCGTGACGTGGTGGTCCGGCTTGCATATCTCAATCACCCAACAAGCTGAGGAAAAAATGGCTGGAAGTCATGTTACTGCGGATAATACCATACCAGAAAGATCATTTGGATAGGTGTCAGATTAAAAACGTGTACCAATATAGTGTAAATAGTTCATACAATATATGGGGGTCTATAGGCGAAGTCTTACTGTCAATAAATAGGGATGTGAACAGCAAACCATCCACGCTGACTATCCACTCTGGAGAAAGAGGGTCAGAAATAGTCAACTCCTGCCTTACCATGCGGCGGTGGTAAAAAAAAATAGCTTAATATAGGAGCAACTTAGAAAACCACTTCGAACAGGACATATGACCGTACATAAACAGTTGTCTCCCAGATATCTGATCTCTCTGAGATCATGCAATACTGATATGTATCCACATATATATATTTATGTATGTGTGTATGTTGGTCTCTCTTTCTGGTTGCTCGCTTGGTCTGTGACCATTTCACTTGTATGAACCTGTCTGCTTTAACAATGTATATTCCATTTATATTATATATAATATGAGTGTTTGTTGACAGTCCGTTGCTTAGTGACATATATCCATATATGGTTGTTTGACATGTCTGCTATATATATATATATATATATATATATATTTCGTTCACACATTCTGTGTGAACTACTTTACTTACTTATAACTTTGGTGTGAGACCATTTATTTTCGTCTCCTTGTGTTTGGACAATAGAAGTATCATCGCAAACCTAGTGGTCTTCTGATTTCCGCCTTCTCGCGTCAGGACTATTAATTTCTCGACCAGGCCATAACAATAATTTAGCGACGAGTACATAACAAATACTAATACTCCTTCCGTTTCAGGTACTCCAAAAAGATATCAACTGATATGTAGTCACATGATGTCTGCTTTGTTTTGACAGTCTGATATATTTGCTATATGTATACTGATCATTATTCCATTATAACTCACAATATATTTTGTCTGTCTATTAACTAAATAAACAATGTATGACCTTTCGTCACGTGACATTACAACAAATCAGAATCCAATAGTGGTAAGAAAAGCTACTGTCTATCTTATTGACTCATATATGTTAGTCATTTTCACATATACTCTTATATTGTACACTTGATACACTCTTTTACACATTCTCGTACTCTGTCGTACTTTTCCACTCACACTTTTGTGTGACTGTTATTTTCCTTGTTGGAAAATACACGTATCTTCGTGAATGTAGTGGTCTTCTGATTCGCCTCCTTCGTATCAGGACAAATTAAGTACTCAGCAGTACCAGTCTGTACACGTTATTGTCCGCCTTATATCTCATTAGCGTGTTATATTTACACTTGGTCACACTACAACATCGGCAACGACACCATAACATATTGGCGATGAGTTCATAACATCAACTTACACAGTGTGGGTAGCTGGGAAGAAATAACCGTCTACGCATTTCAAAAAGTATATATAAGGTCTTCCTGACCATCACATACCTTCCCCGTTATATTCTGTGCATAGAAATGACAGATTTACGGTAGACAGACGATTCATAAAAGATAACTCCCAAAATACAATCACAGGAAAATTATTCGTAAAACAGTCTGAACACTATCTCTAATTAATAAATTATTGCACAGAGTGAATGGAGATAGTATCATCTCTAACTAAATTCTAATTTTCCCCTTGGCTGACTGAACCGAAATGTTCGGTGACTGTTGTACACGTTAGCTCCTAATGTGGTCCAATCAACCAAGGGCGAAATCAAATAATACTTGAGATCCAGTGTACAAGAGGCGGTTTCCGTGACACAAGTGGTCTGGTGGATAACTCCTCGGTGTTTGAAATGATGAGTACTGAGTCCGAGATTCAGTGGGAAAACCATTACTCACTCTCACTAAAGAATGCATGTCCAGATGATGAGTCCTATATACAATAAAAGACATCTTGAAACAGCCCCAGCAGGTTGATCGCTGACAAAATCTCATCACGGATAAAGAAGGCTAGTTTGGCATATGCCAACTAACGCCATCTCTCACTTAGTGGACGTGGTATCGGACTGACTGGCTGGCTGTCGACCAAAGGGATGCTCAGTGATTCGCTCTGTTTTCATTTTCCCTGGATGACGTGAAAAGATTAGCTGTCTTTGATCAAAGATGTCTGAGTCCTTCCTATCTCCCGTTTGAAGTGGCATAGTAGGATGAGCAATACTGAGGTTAGGCGTCGAGTGTTAGGTAAGGAGGGAAAATCGATCGACAAAGTTGTGAAATTACACCAAATGAGATGGATGATTAGGAGGATGTGTTACGCATGCATCCCTACCCATCAACTTCCTCTCAACAGGCAATGTTAGATCACATAGGATGGATAAGGTTGTAGTTAAACTAAAACATGGCTTCATCAGTCAATGAAATCCACAATGGTTAGAGTTCAAGCCAGTCACAAGTAGGGAGGTGTAGACTTCCTGACTGCTTGGGTTCCTCGGGGTGGTAAGAACCAACTAATGGAGACGATTGGTGATATGGATCAAAATCGTTGTCAGTGGCTGGTACAGATGCATCCACTCCTTATGATTCATCGTATCTAATAAAACTCTAATGTTCTTCCATATTACTATTCTTTTTGCTTCATAGTTCTGTTTATTATCTCTCTCTCTCTACTTTCTTCTCTTGCTTTGTGTGTTGCATGGAGTGTGGCAAATCGAACTGGTGTACATCTGTGAAAAGTTCCACGTTGAAACCAGTCAGTCAGTCATCGTGCACTCCACTGATAGTCACTATCCATCATCAAATTACTTTAAGATAGTAGCATTTATTGAGAAAGCCAATCAGCAGTTTTTCCCTGACCAAAAAGTGAAATACAAAACTGTTATCATTGAATTATTTCTAAATCTGGTTAGTCAGCCGGTTAAAGAGCATTTAAATAAGTAAAGTATTTTAATATTACAAATCTCAACAACTAATGAAAAGTAAAAATGTGAATATTTATAAAGTAAAAAAAGGATGTAGACATATCAACAATGGATCATAGACGCTTACTTTACACGCCAAAAGGCATTTCAGGTTATCAGATATGGGAATTGTTAATTCTGAGTTATCTGCAATAGCATTAATGCTTCCTAATGCATCAGGAAAGCATAATTGTAAAAAGTCGTTGATATTTCTCATTTGATAGATAACTTCACGTAAAGATGGATAAAAAATTGCAGCAGCCTAACAATCATAAAAAAAATCATATTAAGTATAAAATCTAGAGTAAAAATTGGAAACATCTGTGCACTACTAGACAATGAGTTACACAGCTGGTCTATGATGTCTGTAATGATGATCACTAGAGCTTATCAAAACAACAGCCACACACGGAGTAGGCTTAAAACCTGTGATCAACTTGGATTTTGAAAGTCGCATGAAATCAATATGCATCTAGACGACAAGTCGCGAGTTACTAGTACTTCATTTCATTTAGTTTACTGTCTTTATAGCCTAGTTGAATCACGATAATACAGTTAGAGGACCATTAGAAAAAGGGGGAACACTGGACAACTGTTCTTTTCTAGCTTGGAACTCTTCAGTAGTGTGAACCCGTGACCTCACCTTACCCTCGACCTAGAGACTACGAGGTCAGCTTATTGATCATCTACGGAGTTGTAGTTCAATGACCCGAGATACCCAATGATGCTACTTTTCATTACTGAAAAATTCAGTATTCGGAGAGAATAGTTTTATGCTTTATTCCAGTAAACTCTATGAGTCGTAGTAGTTGTTGTCTTTATTGTAGTGACAACACGCTAAAACAGTTAACCACACAGTAACTCACACAAAGCAAGCGTGCTCAAAGAAAAAATGACAGCTAGGTAACATAATTATTAGCCCTAGTACAATATGCATTTTTAACTGGTAGTTTGGATATAGAGATGTGGCTCATTGGTGTTTAAGTACTCAATCTACAGTCAATCGACCCTGCGTTCCATTCACACTGTGCCTACTACTACACTCTGAGCAGCTAGTTAGTATTATCAGCCTTCATAGACATACACGCACACAATAAGTGCGGCTCACAGTCACGTAAATGAGTAATACGGATTGGGTAAATTTCCAAAAGAGTGGAGTGGGAGGATGAATATTACCACCTCTTACTCTAAACATCAACATATTTCAGCGCGCATGTAGTTTGCATTTATCACCACCCTACAAAGGAAGGTAGGAACTGCTCCACATATATTATTTACAATATGAAATGAGCAACGGGAATGATAATATACACACCAAACAATCCCAGGAAGGATCATATCAATACACACACAAATAGATATGAACATTAAGACTCAGTAATGAGACAAGGAAGACAAGGGATAAAAATTTAGAGAATGAAAAGAACAACCAAATTATCGTGCAAAAAATTCAGGCATAGCTTACTTCATCTAATGTTGTTGGCCATAATTTAAGAAGGTGTATAAAATCATTGATAAATTCCGCCAGAAAATCCTCTTTAACATTCTAGACAAGAAAAATCAGGTGAAGAAATCATGTATGATGAGTAGGTTAACTGCATACACTTTGTTTAATAATAAGTAAATAAATAAATAATAGTAGCAAAACAAGTAGCAAATAAATATGGATAGACTAAAACTGCACTCTTGGCGTACCAACAACAATGATCCATATAACCAATATACATTACATTCGAGTTTGCTCATGAAATGTTTGGCAAAAAACACTTTGAGAAGCAGCGGTCCAGTGGTCCTACAGTCAAACATATTACAGTCACTCACCGTTTTACTCCATCATGAACGAGAAATGAACACATCAAACAGTATTCCAACACCTAGTCGAGTTTGCCTAAGTTGTCTTTAGTGCAGTGTACATGACTGGATGACTTTGGAGGTATTTATAACGATGATGGTGAGTCGGCGGCACAGCGGTAGAATGGTCGCCAACCTCGCATGTGGTGCGGAGTTCAATCCCCTCGCTAAGCCAGTGGTAAGACTGGTAAAGAGGAAACGCTGAGCACGAGGCCAGCAACCTCATCCTGTAAAATTAAACACCACTGCTACCGAAACTTCAAGCCTGTACCTTGAAGCCACTGGGAATGTAAAGAAATAAAAAATAATAATCAAGATGATAAGGTTGATTGTAGGTCGCTGAACAAACATTACAGTATGTACAACAACCGATATAAATCATACAGCGTGATCCAGATCCATTACCTTGACTAACATAGATAGACAGTATCAAAGATTCTTGCTTTCAAAATCAATAAAATCAGGTAGGATTCAGAAATAAAAGGAGATGCGGTGATTGAATCATTCATTACCCGTCAACAGATAATGAAAAACAGACAGGCTTCCCAAATTCAAACACCTGCTACCACCTTTCACTGAGTGAGCTTTTGACTCCAACAATATAATACCAACTATTCACAGTGCGCACCCTGATGGCGAGCCACCTAGCATGATGGCCACATTACAAGCTTGACCGACAGAATTCGGGGTCTGCACCGAGGATAGGACAAAACACATTACACTAGTTACTGACTAGTGTCCAATCAAAAACATTAATCCGTGTTTGTCAGTAGATTGCTGAGAAAGCAACATTATTCTGGTCAAGGCATTATCTAGTCGAACAACTGCAGTCGTGTACGAGTTTGTACAAACAAACCTACCTATTGTTACCTGAAGTGTATAACCAACCAACCAACCAACCAGATGTTTATCAAAGATAACCACACTGACATGTTTCACAAACTTGAGGTGACAAACAAAAACCAACAAGCTGGTAGAAGTTTGAGTCGACGGCATGACTTCAAGTGAACACATAAAGGGGTTTCATTCAGAGCGCAAGGAACATATGATAACAACAAACGAGGTGAAGAATATATATATAACAGTACTACAGCAAACATACCTCATTAATTAAAATATAAACTAATAAAATATAAAAGGTATCTTTCTATGCAAAATAGAAAAGAGATAGACTTACATTAGGAAGATATTGTAGTGTCAATGACCATAAACGCATTCCTTTATGAATAGTGAATACACTTTCTGTTAAATGTAATAATTTATTTTTAGGTAGTGTTTCACAGATTTCTTTACTCGTTTTCCCAGGTAATTTGAACAATTCACTGACTAACTGATCAACTAATTCTCGTCGATAGTCCAGTAAACGAGCACGTCTAACAGAAATATGTGTAATAAACAATATGAACTTAAAAATAACGCCAGAAAGTATTATATATAAATATATTGATATATACTTCAGATAGGAACACAATAAATGGGCACAATGCTAAAGCACTCCGGTTTGTTCGTCAGCCACCAAAGCATGTGCTCCAGGCTCCATCATCCTCCGGAACGATGCACTTCACCACTTCACACTCCTAGCCGGTGAGCCCGATAGAGATGGAAGGTTGGGTGTGGTGTACTTGCGTGTATGTGTGCGTGAGGCGAGCAACCTTAATCCCGTAAAATCAACACCTTCACCACTAGTAACCTCAAAGACTGAAACCCGAAGAAGTTGTCTGCCCCAGTCGGAATGCAAAGAAATCAGTAAAAACAAAAAATAAATATTAGTAACAGTGATGATAATAAAAAAAGAAGACTAGATAATTTATGAAAATCTCACGTGTCATTTTGCACAACAACTCTTTCAAGAGACAGAGCCACCTCGTCCAAAATTAACAGTATTGAAAACATCTAAATTAAATTTAAATCACAAAAAGAAGAAAGTATTGTCATTAGTTAACAAAATATTAACTGGAAATTCTTCCCAGGTGTTATCCCTGGGAACACAGATACTTTGAAATTGAACAAATTAATGCTACTTAAAGTAAATGATTACCGCCAACTGAGTTAAGTAATTTAGTGTAGCATAATGATGCGAAAGACAACTACTGATCAAGAATTTTGACATAGTAGTTATTGTGTTAATTACTAAGATCCAGTATTGCATTGTATTGTATTCAAGGGCTGAATACACGAGGTCGTTAGACAATGTGAGATGTTTGATGCTTGGCATACTGATTGGCTGGTATAGCCACACCGGTATGCCCGGTGTTAGATGTTGTCCATCAACATTTGACCAACACGAAATGATCCAGAAGTGAATCATTCAATTAGAGTAATAAATAATATAGAACAAGACATTTAAGCGAACAATATTGTTTTCAATTAGATCTCATCATACTTAACTCTAATATATATATATATATATATATATATATATATATATAAGTTTACAAATAAAAATTCAAATATAAACCGATCACCATGGTGTTTTATCTATAGAATAATAAGATGCTGAATATAAATTGTGCAATTAGTCATAATAATAATAATGGTCTTATCAATAATAAGGATGAAAAAATGAGGCAATCTGTGATAACGCGAATAATGAAAAACAGTATGATTAAACAAACAGTTGTTCAGGTGGAAGTAGTCGATAAAGGCTAGTAAAAACAAATGAACCGATTACGTAATGTTAGACTGTAAGGGAAGGAAATGAAACACGTTTATAATGAAGATAAGATTAAGGGATGATAAGAAAGGGGTTGGAAATATAAATAAGGGGTGGTATAGAAGTCTTTAGTTGGTTATGTCTTATTAGGCCACGGAGGGATAATGGCTGCACGAACTTCTTTTGAATGCAAAGTTTAGGTTTAATAGTTCGAATGCCTATCGCCTCAGCTGTGTGTAGTAGACGAATACAAAGTCTATTGGGAAGATTCGGTGAGATACGATGAATTACTTTGAAGGCTTTTGTTTTCTCGACTATATGACCACTACCAATTAAATGTGACAGAATTGAGCTACGGATTGTTTTTGTCTGTCCTTTGCCAAACCACTATGATGGCAGATGTTCACTAACACGTTGGCTAAGCTGTCTAGTAGTAGTACGCCCAACATGACTGTCGCTGCAGTTGCAGTTGAATTGATAAATGCACATAGATATGGCAAAACTATCAAGCTTATCCTTCGTTTGCGTCCCAATCATTCGTCGGCTAGAGAATGACAAACATAGGTGTGCTGCGTAAAACTTTTTCCGTATACTCCTTGAAAGTCTTTGGAAGAGAATCTCACTTGATAAGTCACCATTAAATTGTAACTTAATAAATAGAGGTTTCTTATGTGCAGTCAGAGTCATAGGTTTTTCCTCTGATGGTTTCATATGTTTCTTCATGAAACTACTCGGATAGCCCATATCCGTCAGGGAATCGTGAATATATTCAAATTCCTTTTGTAAGAGATCATCCATACATATATTCCTTGCTCTTCTCGCGAGACATTTTACAACATTCCTTTTATATTTAATGGGCACGTAACTAAGGAAGTGTGTGTATTGCCCTGTGAATGTGCTTTTTCTGTACACACTTCTCCCAAGTGACCCATCTTCTCTCCTAATTAGCAATACATCCAGGAAATGTAGTTTATTCTCCTGCTCCTCTTCACAAGTAAAGGTAAGCGAAGGGTGGATGTTGTTGAATTTAAGTAACAATTCGTTTATGTTTATATTGATAAGACCATTATTATTATTATTATTATTATCATTATCATTACTACTATTATGACTAATTGCGCAATTTACAATCACCATCATATTATCCTATAGACAAAACACCATGATTGGTTCATATTTGAATTTTTACTTGTAAACTTATATATATTAGAGTTAAGTGTGATGAGATCTAATTGAAAACAATATTGTTCGCTCAAATGTGTTGTTCTAAATTTTACTATGGGAATATTTAATATAACAAATAATACACAAAAACACAAACAATAATTACTAACACCAGTGGGCATGGAAAGAATGCACTGAATGTAGCTACTTCACAATACAGAATGATTCACAAAATAACAATACACTCATACAAACACTTCTCAAATGATAATAGCACTATGAATAATAATAATAATAATGATAAACACACGCGTTCGATTTGAGCCAAAAGAAGACGCCGTCGACGACTAGATACAACAGAAGACGATGACGCTGTGGATTGATTCAAGTCCGATCCGGAGTCATTCTACAGAGGGACAAAGAGACAGACACACAGACAGATATTGACTAACCGTTAGCAAACATTTTGGATGATAATAATAATAGTAAAGAACTGAACAAAAACACAAAATAGACGTAAGAAAAGTAACCCAACAACAATGTAACAGTCAAGAAACCATATAAAAACACGGGAACTATAAACTCAGTTTTTAGCCAAGCAATCAAAACAAGCAACATAGAGAAAGGGGAAAAACTAAAGAAAATTCGAAAGTAACAGAAGTAACAAAATGTGCGTCGGTGGCCCAGTGCGGTTAGGACTCTCGCCGACCATTCACATGGTTCGAGGTTCGATCCCCTGCTGACACACACCTGATATCTATTGGTCGGCCTGCAAAATTTAAGCTACCGATATCAAATGCTGAAAATTCCATACTTGTACCAAAAATATACGGTGTGGAATCAAACTGTAATCAAAAATAAAATCAAAAAAATATAAAAATATCGGCACTGAAATAAATGAAATTTTTTTAAAAATAAAAAAGGCATCCTCAGAGGTGTAATTGCGAATTTGATTAGCAAATTATAAGAATTCGACTTGACGTAAAGACTGAAAAGCAGTCTAAAAGTTATAACAATGGCATCTCGAAGACAAAGAATTCGGTGAAAAAATGCCATAAATAAATGAATGCCCAGATATGCACACTTACTCATCACACAGTTCTTCAAAACTCGCATACAGAACATTTTTCAGTTATAAGTTTCCAAACCGTAGGTGTTACGAACTTCCTGGAATAATAATTTACTACAAACATTTCTCGGAAACTCACACACCCACTGGGAAATCTACTAAAGGGAAGTTAATGAACACAATGACCCACACCTCAGATGTCATAACGTACCTAATCACGACGATGTTCAAGTAATTCAAATACAACACAGTACTAGAATGTGTTGTAGTGTGCATTTAACTCAGTTTAAATTTTTGGGAGAAAACAGAGAATATTGCGAGTTTTCAGAGAGCGTAATGCAATTTATGCCCATTCGTGAACAATACTTTTTGCTCCTATCTGTGGATTCCGCTCACTTTTAGTAATCAAAACACCACACAAAGGATCAGAAGTATGAATTCGATATCAACCGTATTCTTAGGTTCCCACGACAGAAGTGTGTGCTGCAAAACAGTCCATTGGAAAATTTACGAACGAGTACAGTTTGCAACCAAGATACAGGGAAATTTCTCAAAAGTCAGTCGACGAAATGTAAGCGTAGCGTAATCGGTACACCAAACAATCACTGCACATGGTCCGGGGTTCGAGCCCGCACCGACGCACACCTGATATCTATGGTCGGCCTGCAAAATTTGGGCTACCGATATCTATGCTGAAAAATTACATACTTGTACCAAAAATACAGTGTGGAATCAAGCTGTAAATCAAAAATAAAAAAAATAAAAAAAATAAAATCGTCCTGCTGTAAAATAATGCATCCGAACGTAGGAACAACCTCAAACGACAATTCTGGTGTACACTCACCCAACAAGAGCTGAAAAAGCACGAAATCACGACAAATATATATTCACCTGGACAACTAGTCCCAACTCAAATCAAACAAACCGCGCAAGCACCGACAAAGAAGACAAGGGGATATGCTATATAATCGCAATTCTGAGTGGAAAATAGACCTTCAACAACACATCTCCACTTTCTTCTATTTCCCTCTGTCCTCTTCGTCTGGGTCCACGATTGACCATAATCTCTCATCTCATCCCCCCCCCCTCCAAATCACACGGTCTCCTACATATCACCTTCACATCGACGACCCATTCGTCGCCTCGCGTTCAACTTCCACCCGAGCGATGGTCTGCACTGAGCGTGATGTTATTCGACAGTCTCCTCAACATATGCACCATTCGTCTCCATTTTCTCCTACATATTTCTTGAGCGATAGGCGCTCGGCTGTCTTGTTTTCAGACAAAGATTCTTGTTGTACCCTATTGAGCAGAACTTGAATTGGTACATTTTTGTGCAAGACTCTAACGCCAAACGTTCAGCTTAGCTTAATACGTTCAAAAAAATTCTATAACTGGAAGAGATGAGAGAAGTTTCACAGTTTTATCCTATAACAAATGATAAGTATATAAAACTACGGTTTTAGCTTACAAGTTTATCATTTGAAGATTTTTCTGTTGCTTGTTCAGGACCATTTGTGAGGGCAGAGACTAATGACAACTCTGCAACCACACGTGGTCGATGCACATTTGATCTTGTTGGACGTCCTAATGCATTACTGGAATCCGGATTAGGAGGTTCATTGTTTTCATGAGATTTCTCTACGGTGTTATTGTTTTCTTCCACAGTCTGGTCGGGAGATTGAATGATATTCACAGAAGAAAAAGGGATAACCAATTTGTATCTTAAGGATTTTTGATAAGGCGACTGAGAATCATTAAGACTTTCTAGAGGTATGGAATAGGAATCTGCATTGATGCTGGAGGAGAAGTAGCAGCTAACTGACCGTTAGCGATTTGTTTGGCTCGAATTGCATTCATGTTTCGTAGCCAACGACAAGCGAAATAGTAATCCTGAAGAGCACAATAAATAATTACTCTTAAGTGAAACAGAAAAGAGAATATATTTGAGAAAGATTCTCTGACTACAAACGAACTTGTAGACCTTTAAAAATAAAATAATAATAACAGTCTAGAACGAAACAGCTGTACAGTACTACGTTGTTTTCAGTAGTTCCCCAAATAACATCGATCGAACTTAAAACAAATCGAACCCCTACAAACTAACTTTCGAAAATTAATCTGATGCTCACCAGTGACTAGCTGACAAGATGAAGTTGACTGGAGTTCTAGTGAGAAGTCACGACCAGTGGGGTCCACCAGGTCGGGCGCGAGGACAAACACTTTCCGATGATACAGGCTGGTGGTGGTGGCGCCAGAATGACGAATCGGTGGAAGTTGGAATTCATGTGCCACCATGTCCGGTCCAGTGGCTGAAGGGTTTAAAGGCTTTCCGTGTAGCCAGAAGGTCTTGGGTTTGAATCCGGTCGGGCGTGCACTGTTCAAGATTCCCGATCAACGATGAGACAGCTGTTTAGTACTCCCCAGCTTCCCAACGGTTCTGTAACTGACATATGTCTGTGATCAAACTCGAAAAAAATAATACATGACGACTACTTGATAAAGCCTCTATTACAAACCGTAGTTCTATATGGTGGGTATCTTGTTGCTCACGCCACTAAGTGGAACATTTTGTCAGCGGTTTAAGAGATTCATACTGTGTTCCAAGGTAAAGAGTTTTCAAAATCTCTCTACTGTTGACAGATACGAAACTAACTTATTTTTTAAGATTGCCTATTTTTATATTGGAATTAGAATTTCGTTTTTAAATTGTCTACACACTGCACTAAATATCCCATCAAATGCAAAAGACTAAAGGCCAAACATAATGGATTCCATTAGACATGTGAGATCATGTGGGAACATACTTTTGGTAGTTTTGACATTCAACCCCTCTACACCGTCTCAACCGTTCATTAGTTTTCAGTTATGTGACTGTTTAGAGGAAATGAGAGTTATGTAGTTGTGCGGAATACAAAGTTTTTTCACTAAGTCAGCGTATGTTGACGCAACATGGATTGATGCGTAGGATTCAAACACAACGAAACTCGATGATCTAAGATGATATAATATATAGAGCTTTGATCCCAAATTATTGACGATGATACAGTTATTGGTGTCGCTTATATCGAAAGAGTAATCTGGAAGTATTGATATCAGTCTTCAGAGATTTACGTCAGACTATAAGCCACGCCACGACGTCGCCTAGTTCAACAGTCAGTCCTCAGCTCAGAGAAAGAGGGAAGGTTAGGTGAGGAGCTAACAACTGTACACCGGAAAATCAACCCAATCGCTACAGACACCTCAACGCACAGACAAAATAGGAGGAATAATCTCAGTCTTTGCTGGAATCAGGTAGAAAAATAACAAAAAGATGAAAGCTACCAAAATGCCAGTCAGTTGATATCTTCCTTCGACGAGGCAAAATAGGCGTGAGAACATAGAACGGTCCCACAATGTTCGAAGCTGAGATGGCTCGTCGTATTGCAGAAGAAATTAGAAAGCATAGTACAGAAGTGCTAAAGGTCTCTGAAAGCAAATGGAGACGAAATGGACATGTGCGTCGGTGGCACAATGGCTAGGACTCTCGCCAACCGTGCACACGGTCCGAGGTTCGATCCTCTCCCGACGCACACCTGATATCAATGGTCAGCCTGCAAAATTTGGGCTACCGATATCCATGCTGAAAATTCCATACTTGTACCAAAAATACAGTGTGGAATTAAGCTGTAAATCAAAAATAAAAAAATAAAAAATAAACATTGTTGATTGCAGAGGACACAATCAGTAATTCAGTAGACAAACGTTAAAACACTGAGAAGTGCCTATAAGGATTTCAATAACTGTATCGAAGGCTTTCATGAAGTGTAAACCAATTTCACTCATGACCATGACAGCGCATTCGTCAATTCAAAAGGTAAGGAAGTTACAATTATTCACTGCTGCATCATTACAAACAACCCTGTCCAAGAGAAGAGGAAGTTTTACAAGCAACTGGAAATAGTTACCAACAAGAACACTGCTATGTTGAGCAGTCAGGAGTTCACATTTCGGGGGCAAATTCGAGACGTGAATCAGTTTAACAAACATAATCTCCGGTATTTAACACCGTGGACAAACAACATGAGAACTGAATGTGTACTTCGTCGTTTTATATAAGTGATGAGGTTGAGACTTTTATATAGCAGTAGTGATAACTAATATTCAACTAAATTGGTATCAATTTTTCGGTGAGTTTATGTATTATAGATCGCAATAGGCCAAGCACGTTGGCACACTCGGTTAAGTAATTATACCAAAGCACCTCAAATGAAAATAGTCAAGTAAGTGCTTTAGAAACATAAAAGTAATCAAAAGTAGAAAAATTTGGTTTTGTACTCTAGCGTCAATTAAAACCATACATACTACACTTTCTGATAGTATGAGCACCGCTATATTGATTGACATTCTTGTTTATTCCCACTGTTAACACCATTCCACAGGTAGGATTCTCATCTGTTAACTCTACAACCATTAACAGCGACAGGAGTTTGAAAAACACTACCGACGACCTTTTGAAACTATACCACCAGCTTCATATAAGAGCACTCAGCATTAGGACCCTTTGCCAAATCCAAAAACAAGTGTCACTAACTATAAAGCTGGCATCGTAAGCCATGAATGTATGTAAGTCCTAATCGGCAGTATCAATCTAAGCCAAACTCAGAGCACACAAAAAGGAGAAATCATCCACGCATGAAATCCAGATATTTTAGAGGCTTCTGATGGGTCAGTGAGGTGTCTTCCTGTCCTCTAACTCACTCACACCCAACATACAGCCTGACACAATTAGGAATATCGTCGTCGGTGATAATAGGCAGCCAACCAGCTTGTCTTACTCCTGTATTCACTTCGAACAACAAGCTGAGTTTTCTGTTGTGGATCACCTGACACGTGGTGTTGTCACAAAGCCAGCCAGCTCTTGAATGAGGTTGATAAAGACTTACACACTGCCCGCCGTAGTGTTCAAGTAGTTTCCGAATAACTTCTCCGTCAACACCATCTGCAGGAGGCCTTTTCGAAGTCGATTAAATTGAGGTAGAGTGAGATTTGACTGACATGCCTTCCTTTGTTCGATGATGATTCATAGGGTTGCAATTTGATCAGCACCTGACTTGTCGCTCCTCAACAAAGCCAGCTTATTCCGGTTGGGTTGGTGGAGTTCTGTATCCAGTGTATCCCTTATTCTTGCCGGGCTGATGAGACTCAGTGTTTTACTTGGTGTGGAGAAGGGCATTATTCCACGACAGTCTGTCATTGCAGAATGAGGTGTAAGTTGCCCAACTTTGGTAGCTTGACAATGTAGCTAGCCTCTCTCCCAATGGGTAGGTACCCTTCCGTATTTCCAAACCGTTTGCAGTAATGGCGTAAGCACATGTGGTGGGGTCTCCGGGTCCGTTTCCAGTGCTTCGGGGTGCAGTATTCCGTCTGGTCATGCTACCTTCCCCACTGAACTTCAGTAGCTTGATCGAATTCAGGATTTCTGCTTGCGTTCGAGGATTGGTATCCCTGGCAGGCAGTTCTCTACGTGCTGTTCGAGGTGGTCTATTCCTGTGGGAGTTGCAGGTGATGATCAACTCAAGAGTCCTGCACGGTGATCAGTCCATTGTTTCATTCGTTTCTCCTCCTAGGTAATCAGGCCCCTTGAGCATCCTTTATGGGTTTCATCATCTGGATTGATCTCTTCTCGGATAGCGAGTGACCTGGTTATCTGATATGACGTTCTGAGGTCTCTTTTACTTGCGTTTCCTCGAACATCACCTCCAGAGGGAGCTCCGATATTCTCTCACACAGGTTTCTTCAGTGATGCCATGTAGTGTCTCCGACTTCGCTCTGATAGCTTTAGTTAGGGACGTCTTTTTGTGGTTTCGTGATTCAGTTTCTGACTTGTGAACGTCAACAGTGGCGTTTCTCCCGTTGTTTTCACGGCTTTCGGGATGTTGTCCATTACCATTTGTAGTTGTCAACAGAAATCTCCCATCTCCTCTTGTTCCGAGTTGTTTGTGGCACTGTGCGCAGCATTGGACAACTGTAACCTTCCTCCCCCGCCTTTTCAGTTGAATCTTCGAGTCATGATTCTGCAAGGCTGCCACTCACTGCCTCAGTGTGCTGGTGGTTGTCGTCTGAGTGGGTGACTGGCGTAGATTACTGACTCACCAGTTGACAATTTCGACAGTCCACATACATTCCATCTGCCCTCTCACATTCCCGCCACTTCTATACCATATCTTCTCAACTCTCTGGCTACCTGAGAAGCCGTCCCAGCCAGCCTCGCACATTGTACGTATATTCCACATTTGCATTCTTATTCTTGCTTTCATCGGTGGAAGACATATTGGCTGACTAACTGGCTTCACGAATGTAGGCGTTCACCAGTTAGCCCGCTGTGTCATTCAGCCTCTTCGATTCCACTGAAGAGTAAGTTTGTTATTTGAATTTCTTGCATTTGTAATATTTTTCTTGTGTGTTAAAGTTTGTGTAGCAGTTTGGTTGATTTGTGGTGTAGGGTCGCTAGCTCCGGCCGACCTCTTTCTTGGGCTTTTGACTAGCTATAATACTAGCAAGCTAGTCAACTAGGCGAGGTGCTAATCACCGCAAAAGACTACAATACCGACCACCAAAAACTGGTCCAGTAATATCGCCAACAGCCACTGAATACCAATCATTCGACAAAGGCAAAAGTGTTGGATGCAACAGAGTTACTTTTGCTCAACATTTTCGCATCAGATAAACAACCATTAAGAGGGATCCAGTCGAGTAATGCAGCTTCGGCTCTATTGTTCAGCGAGACACTGACACCAGCTACGCCGGATGTCGACACTACAGGGTCCTCAAGTGGGTGCAGGTTTTACACACTATTCGAACTGCCCGGTGTAAAAGGTATTCGAAGCATTTCAGTGGTATCTTGAATTCGG